CAAAGAAGAGGAAGCCACAGCACTCAGCAACCTCATTAATTGATTACACCTTCTCTCAGGTAGCTGGGGTCACTTTCTGCCCTGTCCCTGCTGTCTGTGCTGACATGACTTGTGACTGCTTGCTGGTCAGAGGTGAAGTCAGTACTTACAAACTAGGTGGAACTCGGGTTCCTCCATTGCAGGCCTGTGTTCTCATGTTTTCTTTCACTGCATGGGAAATCACCAGTCACATAGGAACTGATCAGCAGTTGAAAATCACAATAGTCATCTGTGACTCTCATTTGGAACCAGATGAGTTCAGATTGAAGAATCAGTAGGTTCCATGGCTGGTTCTTGTATTAATGAAAATAACCTTTTGTTGACATTGTCTGACAAAGACATAGGATCTGTAGGGAGAACTCTGGGAGAGAAGCTAGCCCAGAGAGTTAGAATCTCAAATGGCATTTTCAGTAGCTTCCTGCCTTTTGCCTTTGCTCTGCATGCTCTTGGCTGTGTGCTATCACCTCTTCATCCCCACTCCTTTTTTGGGGGGGTAGGGAGGTGGACAAAGTCATCAAACAGAATTTGTGACTTGTACTTTCGTAAAAGTACTTTACACGTTGTACTTGTACAATGTACTTTACACATTGTCCTCTGTAGTCACAGATATTTTATTTTTCTTTCATATTATTAATATCACACACAAGTAAAATCTTGCCAAAGATAAGTAAAAAATGGTTGAAGCAGTATATTGACAGGAAACTTCCAGAAATGCAAGCTGGATTTATAAGAGGACGTAAAATGAGAGATATCATTGCTGAGGTCAGATGGATCTTGGCTGAAAGCAAAGGATACCAGAAAGATACTTACTTGTGTTTTATTGACTGTGCACAAGCTTTCAATTGTGTGGATCATAACAAATCATGGATAACAGTGAGAAGAAGGGGAATTTCAGAACAGTTCATTGTGCTCATGAAGAACCTGTACATAGACCAAGAGACTGTTGTTTGAACAGAACAAGGGGATGTTGCATGGTTTAAAATCAGGAAGGGAGTGTGTCAGGGTTGTCTCCTTCCACCATACTTATTCATTCTGTGTGCTGAGCATATAATCCAGGAAGCTAGACCAAATGAAGAAGATTGTGGCATCAGGATTGGAGGAAGACTCATTGACAACCTGTGATACACGGATGACACAGCCTTACTCACTGAAAGTGAAGATGACTTGAAGCACTGACTGATGAGGGGAGATTAAAGACTACAGCCTGCAGTATGGATTACACCTCAACATAAAACGAAAATCCTCAGAACCGGACCAGTAAGCAGCATCTCAATAAATGGAGGAAAGATTGGAATTGTCAAAGATTTCATATTACTTGGATCAACACTTACAGAAGCAGCAGTCAGGAAATCAGATGTTGTATTGTATGGGGCACATCTACTGCAAAAGACCTCTTTAAGGTGCTGAAGAGCAAAGATGTTTCTCTGAAGACTGTTGTTGTTGTTAGGTGCTGTTGAATCGGCTCTGACTCATAGTGACCCCGTGTACAACAGAACGAAACACTGCCCAGTCCTGCGCCAGCCTCACGATCCTTGCTGTACCTGAGCTCATTGTTGCAGCCACTGTGTCTATCCATCTCGTTGAGGGCCTTCCCCTTTTTCGTTGACCCTCCCCTTTACCAAGCATGAGATCCTTCTCCAGGGAATGGTCCCTTCTGACAACATGACCAAAGTAGGTGAGACGAAGTCTGGCCATTCTTGCTTCCAAGAGCATTCCGGCTTCACTTCTTCCAGGACAGATTTATTCGTTCTTCTTGCAGTCCATGGTACTTGTAGTAGTCTTCGCCTACACCACAACTCAAAAATATCAACTCTTCTTTGGTCTTCCTTATTCATTATCTAGCTTTCACACTGTATATGAGGTGTTTGAAAACATCATGGCTTGGGTTAAGCACACCTTAGTCTTCAAAGAGATACCTTTGCGCCCCTTTAGCACTTCAAAGAGGTCTTTTGCAGCAGATTTGCCCAGTGCAATACTTCATATGTCATCTGATATCTTGACTGCTGCTTCCGTGGGTATTGATTGTGGAACCAAGTAATATGAAATAGTTGACAACTTCAGTCTTTTCTCTGTTTATCATGATGCTGCTTATTGGTCCACTTGCGAGGATTTTCATTTTCGCCTAACCCAAACCATGGTATTTTCATTTGCCTCTTATGTGTGTGAAAGCTGGACAATGAATAAGGAAGACCGAAGAAGAGTTGACACTTTTGAGTTATGGTGTTGGCGAAGAATACTGAAAGTACCATAGATTGCCAGAAGAACAAATTAATCTGTCTTGGAAGAAGTGCAGCCACAATGCTCCTTGGAAGCGAGAATGGTCAGACTTTGTCTTACCTACTTCGGTCATGTTGTCAGAAGGGACCATTCCCTGGAGTAGGATGTCGTGATTGGTAGAGTGGGGAGGGTCATAGAAAAAGAGGAAGACCCTCAAGGAGATGAACTGACACAGTGGCTGCAACAATGGGCTCAGGTATCAGCAAGGATGGTGAGGCTGGCTGGCACAAGACCAGACACTGTTTCATTCTCTTGTACATAGGGTTGCTGTGAGTTGGAGCTGACTCAGTGGCACCTAACAGGAACAACAGAGCTTTGGATTTTTCTATCTATGCCTGTAAAGTCATGTTGTTTCTTCTGTTATGGAATCAATCATTCTGTTGCGCTCTGACCTTCAAGGCATATTTGAGAGAATGATATAGATATAGATAGATAGATAGATAGATAGATAGATAGTGAGGATGCCTAAGGGCCACCAGAAGACAACGTTTGGTGTTTGATGAGATCCCATGCTTGGTGCATACCCTGTTGCTTTCATTGTAAGTATTACTGATTTTAAGGTACACCTGCAATTTAATGACAGCTTTTGGCCAATAAAAGACCACTATCACAGTAAATAGACCATCATTTACAAGGTGCACCTGGATTTACAAAAGGAAAGAATTGAGGAAATGTGGCAGCAGAAAGTAGTGACAGCATGTTTTGTTAAAAGTCGTAGCTTGTGATCAGATATACCTGGGTATACTCCCCAGCTCTGCTCTCCATTAGCTGTGTGATCATGGGTGGATGGCATTGTCATTGTGCCTCAGCTTCTGGGTCTATGAAATTTGACATTGTTAACAGCCATCTCATGTCATTATTACAAGAATTAAATGAAGTACTGTGCCTGTAATCAAACATGGTGGTGTGTGTGTTTGGGGGAAGGGGTGGTAGTAGTAGTGATTCCACTAATAGTTATTAACACTCTTGTTGGGGTTGTGATATTAAATATTGGTCTTTAATGGACATCTCTATTTATATATAGGAGCTCTGGTAGCGTAGTGCCTAAGGCACTTGACTGCTAACCAGAAGGCTGGCAGTTCAAACCCACCAGCCGCTCCTCGGAAGGAAGGTTGGTCAATCTACTTCTATAGTGATACCACCTCGGAAAACCCAAGGAGGGGTCGCTATGAGTCGGGTCCAACTCAATGGCACATAACAACAAACAGCAAACAACTATTTATATATAGTCTGGTACTTAAAAAAATCTCTTAGCTAGTGAATAAAACTTACTTTTAAAGTTTTGTTTCTTGAGCACTTTACTGACTTTCCTGTTGTAAATTTAATGGAGTCACCTGGTCTTTAACCCTGAATGATAAGTTTAGGAAAACAGTTTTCCTTTGAAACTGATTTTTCCCCCCATTATGAACACAGAGGATTATTGTAGAAATTGATTTTCAAAGTAAAGCCAGTTGAAGCTAGCGACTTTTTGGTTCAGCACTGCACCAAATTGGCTCTCCCCAAAGGGAGCTTCATGGTGGCCCGAAGAAACTGTTACCATTTTCTGACCCATCTAACCTGTGAAGACTTGGGTGAGGGCCTGAACTGTTTCTATCTTCCCGATGGTGTGGAAATTTTAAACACAGAGGCCAAGTGTGGAATTGCCTGAGTACTGAATGAAGAATTCCTATACAGCTCTTTTTTCCGGTATGGGGCACCTGGTATCGAAGAATTACCTCAGATTTCTGACAGCTTTGCTTAAAAAAATAAATATGTGCCATTTGATCGAATGATGTTAGCAGTTACTATATATCATCAATTCCAAAGTATACACTTTTTTGTTGTATTTTGATATCTTTGAAATTAGAGTACTCCTTACAATTGATGGTGTCTAGTATTTGGCCAGATGGCAGTTACAATATCGATGTCACTTGCCTGCACATGAGTGAACTTAGTGTTAGCTGTTTGTATTGTTGTCATTTCACTTGAGTTATGTGTATTGCTGGTGTTATTTGAGATGGGGTCAGATGTCATTTAATATGCCTTCCAAAAGATGACCCTGTGATTGCCATGAAACACAGTGTATGCAGAAAGGCATGGGAACGGAAGCAGAGCACACCTTAGGTGTGAGTCGAACAAATATTCTTGATTGAAGAAATGACTGCAAGTCCTTGTTTTTGAGCAAAACAGTAACCAAGTGCTTTATGACACCCACAAAAGGAAAATACCATGAGTTGATGAAGCTGTCCTATGTCTGGATTACTGAGAAACTTGTCAACGGGTTGCCTGTTATATGCCAGCAAGAAAAAGCCAACATTAAAACTTGCAGCGTGGGTGGCAGTGGCTCTGAAAGATATCCCTGAAGTGTCGAAGAAATGCTGCACCCCAACGTTCTCGATGGCACAGGGGTTGGGGTGATGCAGAAGTGTGATGTGAAGACATTTTAGGAAGAAAGCTTGTTTTGCTTTTTTTTTTTTAATGTACAAGAATAGTGTACAGTGAAATCGATGCTTAAAGTTAGAGTTCTTTCATTAAGGGTAAAGTAAAAATTATGTATCTAAGAGATTTTTAGGAAAATATCTGGACTGTTTAATTGGTGTTTTTATTTTTAATGGTGTCCCTAATCAGCCGTTATTGATTCAGTGACTCACTGTGTTAATTTGTTGCCAAAACTATAAAAGTAATTGTTTATGCAATCATTGTAGGTGCCTAATGGATAAGAACTTCGTCAGGATTGGGAAGTGGTTTGTTCGACCCTATGAGAAGGATGAAAAGCCGGTCAATAAGAGGTAAGTCTTTAGAAGCTGTTGGCTTTTGGTGTCTTTTACTTGTCTTTGGGAAGCTGGACACCTTGTATATTTATTACCTAATAATATTGGTAGTTCAGATGCACCGACATAGATTTGGGCCAAGAAAGATGATTATCAGTATATTCATGTTTAAGCTGCTGTCTACTACTCTATTTGGAATTAAAATGTTCTATGTTATTTTAATTATCCTCCCTCATCTTTCTTCATTAAAGTTTTATATAGCATAACTTTAATAATAAGTGAATTAAAATGATGACAGGTTTTAGAGAATTGATTGATGCCCCTTAGAGTAGTTGAAGACATCCTTGGCTATTGTGCAACCAGGATTGTGAATTGCTTCTCTAAACAAACCTGAACTTTATCCATCATTTATGATGTGTTTGCCTTGTTAAAGGCAGTCTTTGATACTAACCAAGCATGGATCATAGATCAGTCAAAACCAGAACCAGAAAAGAAGTCCTCAAAATGAAATATGTACCTTTCTTATGCATGAACACATACAGACTTAGCCGTCATCATAAGTTGGTCGTGATTAAATATTTACATTGGTTTGGCCTAACTAATGAATGTGTTCCATGGATTTACATTTTTTAACCTTAGTGTTTTCCTTAAATGTAAAGAAGATTTAGATTTGTTTGTGGTTAAACTTTTGACTTTTGTGCTGTGACTGTAATGGTTTCAGTGCTGAGGTCCTTTAGCTTGGTGACCATTACTGGTCTTGCTATGTCCCTCTGTGCGTGTACTCTCACCTCTGGTCCCTGATGCATCAGCTGAGATAGTCACAGCCTCTACATCATCAGCCCCTGGTGTCATCATTGGACAGAAGTGTGGGCGTGGAGAAGATGAGGGAATAAAACAGATCCAGTCGGTGTCAATTGGTATTTGAATAGTAAAAATAAGGCGAAAAAGTCGGATGCCGTTGTCAGTCTGTCTGTGAAGATTGTGTGTGAGATCCGGAAAGTCTTCACACCTTAAACAAGCCACTGTAGGCAATACGCAGGGCATTTTGATTTTCATTTTGTGGAGATGTTTTTGTTGATTCTTGAGCAGTGTAGTGGAATCATTTTATTAGTTTTAGATTTTGTGTTGGTGATTGAATGTGGAATTTTGTTTCCTTGTAGTGCTAAGATGTTAAAGATTCTAAAAAGAATACTCTAGAAGAAGGTGGTGACAATTAGAACCTGTCTTAACCAAAGGTGTATCTAAGATTGTGTAGATGAAATGACTTTTCCACTTTTATTCTGAGTGGGGAGTGTAGGTGTTCGCTGTGTGCTCACATAGGATCTCCTTGGCCAGGTGCTTGAGGATGGCCTGGCTGGTGCTGTGGAGGAGGAGATTGAAAGACTCGGCCTCGTGTCCCCCTCTTTTCCTTACGGGTTAGTACAGGTAACTAGATTTGGGGCAAGTTGTTTCATTTTTCTGAGCTGAAGTTTCCTTGTTGTTTTTGTGGTTAGTGCATCTAGTTACTATTTTAGAGGTTTTTTTGGAGATTAAATGAGGCAGTTTATGTAGCAGTTTATAATTTTGTTGGCAGAAAAGGAAAGAGATATATGAATTTTCCTTAATTTTTGTACATAGGAGTTTAGTTTACTTGAAATTTTTCCCAAAGACAACATTAAAAAAAACAAAAACAATAATATTCTAAGTATAAAAATGTAACATTAACATACAAAGATACTTTTGTATAACAGATTTAAAATGTGATTTAACACTGCATTTCCTTTAGGCAGCTAAAATAATTCTAATAATGGTGAGAAAGATATACTGATGAATAAGTTTTACATACTGGATTCATAGCATATGACTTCTTGTACTAAAATTTTTCTTCATATTGGTAGCAAAACTAAATCATTTGTTCGTAGACTTTAAGGTGTTCTTAATGTTTGATATAAGATGCTGTGTAAGATAAATTTTAGAAGAAGTATGTATATCTTTGTCTATATATGTGGAATGCATTCTTTATATATGGAATGCATTCAATATTAATTTTTTTCCTATCTTGACATATGTTAATGAGTGGTGACAAATAAAACATACAGGATTCCTGGTTTCTAAAGTCTACATGAACTTGAGAAAGGCTTTACTTAAAAACAAGGGAGTGAAAAATTGGTACTTTAAAAAATCATTTACAAATTATTCCAGTCATGGACGATTTTGTATTGGAAAGGCATTTAGCTTTTAGTTTTCAGCCCATCTTTGATACTGTGGAATTTGAAGTCTAAACACACTTTAGTCTTTGTATGTCATTTTTAAGAAAATAATTGCTTCCAAAACAGTTTGGACCTTTGCTCTTTTCCAGTAGTCAGGTATTCACAGCATGACTTAACGTAAATGCTGCTTTGGTAGTGTGTTTCCTGAGTCAAATAGCCATGCGTTCTGTCATGTCGTGGTTAAACCTGTCCTGCCCTTGGATCATGTTCTAAATAGCCTCAGATACTCTAATATTCTTTTGTGTGTATTGTGAGCAGTTATATTCCAACTGGATGTATATTATTTTCTTCAGAATATTTTCTCCCCTTTTAAGCCCAATCTCTTTTTAAGTTCTTATGCCATCTAACATACATAGTAAAGGAAGATATTTTGGATTAAATCACAAAAACGGATTTTGCATAAAAAGATGAAATATTTGGTGTAGAAGCTTTTTTTTTTTTTTTTTAAACTACATTAAGATTTCCCTTCCCTTTGTTCCCCGTCCTTTCTGCCCACCTGTCCCCCACTCTCCTTTTCTCCCTACATTATCTCTTTGACCCTCCAGAAGTCTGTTGGTGTCTGTGTTACCTTCTAAACATGCACAGATGAGCAGTAGTCCCCTGGTAAGCAGAAATGGGAATAGATACTTAACAGCATGAAGGGCCAAGGGAGGCTTTTCCTGGTGGCCAGAAAAAAGCAAACATTAACTATGAGTTGTTCATTTCAGTTTTCTTTATAAATTTATTTTGCAAGCATGATGCCTTTGGCAGCGATCTGTTAACAAAAGTTACCAGATGGGAAGTTTGTAATAGAATAAAAAGGGGGTAGTTTGGGATTATGCATAATAATCTCATAGCTTTTTTGGAGGGCAGTCTATAAAATACTATATAGTCATTTTTGCTAGGTTTGAGACGTGCATTTTGAAAGGTGCTGTGTACGTGCGTTGTGGTTCTGTTTCCAGCCTTTATGGAATTGGAGGAGACAGTAGGGAGTACATAGTGGGCCTAGATGAGGCTTCACAGGGCTGTGGCCACTCACCCGGTGTCGTGGATGGAGTGTTAGGGACTGTAATAAAAAATAAAAGCATTTATTACGTGTGATTCTTAGAAACGATTAGATTGATCTCTGAGAACCTGTCAGCAGAGTGTGGCCCAGCCTTTAATGAAGATTTCATTAATAGGTGTATAAGAGTGAAGTAGGAAAGCTTAGTACTTGTGGCTGAAGACTCTCCTGGGAAGCTGTGAGTGCTGAGATGAGGTGTGTATTTGTTATGCGACTGCACAGCCTCTTTGAAAGGATCCTGTCTGGTCTGCCTGCTTTTAACTCCTGGTTCCTACTGTGTGTCATCACTCTACCCTGCATACCTCTGCTAGATTACTTTGGATGAGGCACTTTCCGGTTGAGTTTCGGATGTTGTCCACACGGCATCTGGTCTTCCTGCTCCCTGGCAGACGCTTGTTTCCAGTCCAGCCAGACTTGCCCTTCACAATTCCTAGCACAATCTAAACTCCTTTCCCCTTTCGTTCTTTCCTCCTTCGGTCCGTGGTTTCTCTCGCTCTCTGCCTGTCTTCCCTGTCTTCCTGGCAACACAAGTCAGCATCGCTCTCTCTTCTGGAATACTCCACTGAGGCGTCCTTTCTAGTTCCTCCTTCTGGCCTATACTTTTGTATTTATTAGTGACATGTTTATGTTGCTGTTCTTGACTTTTCAACTTTAGACTTTTCTTGAGTTCATGCTATGGAAGATGAAATTTCGTCTCCTCCCTTCTCCCATTCTTACATCACTCCTGGGTGATATCTTTAAAACGGTCCGGTTTATCTTGATGTCTAACCTACATCATCCTTTTTCCTTTTCGTCCACTCAGTACCTATAATTCCTAGCATAAAGGATAAAACACAAAGTGAGTTGGAACAAATGGAACGTACTTTTTTCCTTTGTAATTGTTTTGAACTCACAGCTGCTCCGCAGGAGAAAGATGAAGCAATCTACTTCCGTAAAGATTTACAGCCTTGGAAACCCTATGGGGTTGGAATCGACCCGGTGCCAGTGAATTTGGGTTGAGGGAGGAGGATCACAATGGAAAATGAGCCTGAAAGTCAGCTACAGGTAGTCCCTGACTTCAGATTGGGTTCCGTTCTAGTGACTCCATTGCCACTTGGTTCTGATCTAGATCAAATACCTCTTTTGGGTTTATTTGTTAGTTTTCATTATTACTGCTTTTTATTACTTCTGTATAAATCCAATCTTTATTAGTCTTTAGGGGTTGGAAACATTGGATATAAACTTACAGGTATGATAACATCCGCAAATTTTGCACTTAAGATGTTGTATGCAGTGCATGTTATAATGGTAACATACAAAAAAAAAAAAGATGGTTGTAAGTGTACTTTGTCTCAACTCAAATGTCCTAAATTGATGACAGCTTGTAACATAAATTAAAGTTATGTTTGACAATGAGTTACATTGTCAAAACAGACATTCTCCTCACCATTCTTACCTTGATAGGAAAAGATGATCCATTAAAAATACTCATGTTACAAATGGGGTGGACTTTTTGATTCTTACCATTATTAGTTTAGTGTGACTCATTCTCAGTACTGTTTATGGTGGAGTAGTTTACTTGTTTAAATTTGAGCACTTGGATCCTTTATAATGCTTAGACTAGTCCGAGTATTCTGCAATAGAAAGCATAACTTACCCTGTTGGTGTTTGTCCTCTGACTTAAGTGTTGGACAGGGAACTGAAATGCTTGTAGTAGAAACAGCCCCAACTCATTTTAAGATCTTAAC